TGTTCTGTTTTTGCATAGGACTGTGAAAATGACCCATCTCAAAAATAGTAGACAAGGGGGTGATGGAAACCTTTAAGCCAAAAGAATGGTAAAGCTTCCAAAACTGTGAAGCTGGGAGATGCTACTTCAGCCATATGTCATCCTGGCCTCTGCGATGATCCATGGTTAAGACTTTGTGCCCTTGAGCAGGGACTGGGCTAGCTAAGGATCTCTAAGCCTCAACTGGATCTTTCTCCTCCTCCTAGAGATTTCTCTCCTCTCTGTATAAAGACGAGGTGTTCTGAAGAGAACCCTTTGGGACAGATTTAGGATCATAACTTATTTTTTAAAACCCTATGGCACCTTTTAGAAAGTCATGCATTTCCCTAGTCATTCAGATCTTACCAGTATGCTTTCTGGCCTTTGGGACACATAGAAGCTTCTTGCTTCCATCAGGCCTATTATTCTAGAACACCAAGGAACACCAAGGCAAACACTGGACTAGCAAAAGGAGTATATTAGTAACTTGCCATAAGCCATGGCTTTCATTGACCAGAATCTGTTCCTTTCTAAATACTTATGCACTCACACACACACACACACACACACACACACACACACACACACACACAATCCCACAACTACCATACAAAAGCACACTGCTCTTTGAGCCATATATTGAAAAAGTATCTCATTTATACCTAGCCCCAGTTCAACAAGCATCATTTTGCAGTGGCTTTCAGTTTGCCACTCCGAAGGTGGTACATGTGTGCACTCGAGTGAGGTGTATTTTTACACACTCCCTCAAACCTCAGGTATTGTTTGGAAAGAGCTATACTTCTATTCCATCTATTCTTTTAGGCTTGCTTTTGCTCCAGTGCCTCTTCAGTGCCAAGACTCCATCCATTCCTCCTGGAAGCCCCATCCAGCTCCTTCCTTCACTATCTCTTTTTCATCCTCAAGTTTCAGGGTTGAGTCTCCTCTCTCTGTATTTACAAAACCCAGGCAGGTTAGGTAGCTGGTATGATGCTATCTGGGATAGCCTTATCTAGCTACAAAGTGTGTGAATCAGTGATTACACCACAAGGGGTTGGTGCCAGCCCGGCGGCCTGCCATATTGCCAAGTAACCCAATAGTTGTACCAGGTTGGGTTGAGTAAGACCCACCAATAGGAAATGAGTTTGTTAATCCTGCAACATAGTACACTGTTGACAAAAGTGTAACTCTGAAGGTCTGGTTTGATTGGAGAGGATACAGGTGGAGCAGGATGCTAACTATGAAGACACCCAGTGATTGTATCTTCAGCTGATAATATTCACTGGAAAAATGACACTGAAATTTGGAAGGAAACAGTTTAGCAGAGATGGATTATAGGTTCAGTTACTAGAGCTTTTTGGCCATCTTGGATTCTCTCTCTCTCTCTCTCTCTCTCTTTTTCTATCTCTATGTGGCTGCCTATAAAGCTACAATTTGGATTTCTTTGTTCCATGAGATGAGAGAAAGGAATTCAAGATGGCAGCCAGTGACCTAGAATTGTGTGGGTACAAGGATTTAAGGCTCCATATTTCATTCTCTTTATTCATCTCTTCAAAAACATTCTTTTCTAAGGCCACAGCCCACCTCCTCCACCCAAGTCTGGCTTCAACTCCTTGGTAACTATAACCAACCAGAAATATCACTCATATTTCTCACCGTGATGAGCCTGTTCTGGGCAAGTAATCAGGGCAGTCTCAAAGCAGGGACACAACATTTTTGTGACTTTGGGCTGACCTGATTGGCAACTTAGGGGCTGAAACATTGACCATCATATTTTTATAGCCCCGTGTGATACATCAAGGCTTTAGACTTTGGTGAGGCAGATTAAATGCTAGACACAAAGCAGGGAAGCAGAGGTAGATTTTCTATTGGGCAGGCAAGAAGAAAGGAAGGGAGAGAAGACTAGTCCAGAGACTAATCCAGGAGTAGCTTCACAAAGACAAGATTCTGAATACTACAGGGAGAAAGGCAAGGGAGGAGGATGGAGCTGCAGATGTAAAAGGTGAAGGACATGAATTTCCTTAAGAGCAATGAAGAGCGCGCTAGGCTGGCCAGTAAGGTCAGTTACAGATAAGGAATGATCTGGGAAAGATAGCTTGTGGGGCAGGGGAAACATGGCCTTCATGGGAGATAGAAATCATACCTAAGATGTGACAGGTTGATTCTACAAAACTTTCCCTATGTGTTGTCCTTTCTTCCCTCTGGGTCATTCATAAGAGATGTTTTCCCAGCAGAATCTTTTCCAGGCACAGACTAGTAGTGAGGCCTAGGAAAGTCCTGTCCAAGTGGAATTAAAGCTGTAGAACTTTAAAACCTGATTTCCTCTCCCCCCCCCACCCCGCAAATTATCTGACCACAAAAGAGCTTCAAAATCTCTCTGGTTATCTTGCCAACTCTGAAGAACCCCTGTCAAGTCTCCACCTGTTTTTCAGACTTCAAAAGCTTCTTAAGCAAGAGAATTACTCAGTATGGCTGTAGAGGCCTTCAGGGTCCTGTTCCTGAGTACCCTAAGACCATCACAAAATCAGTTCACAAGCCAGGTGCTTTACTTATTTGAAAGCAGAGAAGTTCCAGAAGATTCTAGAAAAGTCTAGACACTACTAGCTCTGACTCCCATGAATTTATTCAACCTGTTCACCTAATTCTTCCGAGAGCATGAGACTCACAGAAGGGCAGAATGGAATCCTAGTCTCTCAGAGACCCAGAAAGTGCTCAAAACTGGATTTGAAACACCAGAATCTGCACAAAATTCTGACCAACTTCCAGGGACACGGGGTTCCATGTTTCCACCGAGAGTTTTCAGAGAAAGAACAGCAAAACCAGGCATAACAACCTATCAAACAAACCACCAGCCAAAACAAAACAAGACAAAAAACAACAACAACAACAACAAAAACCAGGCCAAACCAAAAATTTTATGCTATGAAAACAGGAAATAAAATAAGGAGATTTAAAGGCCAGCTGATTGTCAGCAAACACAATATATTTACTGTATTGGCATTTGCTCACAGTGCAAATGGTACAACATTACACCATTTCAATATTTCGGTTTTTAAAAATGCTGTTTTCATTAACTATTATATTGGCATAACAATGTGACAGAGCAAATGAAATGTTGGTGAAGAATTTCACCTCTTCACAATATCAAGCATTTTGTAAACCTTAGTATAAGGTACTATAAATCCAAGAAATAAAAACATCCACAAAATATATTACATCTGGTTTGTCTTTTTCTAAGTACTCAACTTTATACAAAAGTCTTTCAAAAAATATCATTCCCCGTAGGTTTTCCTGTTTAAAACCCGATTATTTTTTTCCCTCTCAATTCACATAAGTTAGAGTGCATTTTCTTTTGTTGGTTCTTAAAACATGCAGACATATAAAAAAATCTGGATAGCACAACCTTTTGGCAACAAAGTTATTTTTCTCTTAGTTTAGCTTAAATGTCTGAGAACAGTTTTATTAAAACAAAGGAAAACTCAGAGTTATCATGCAGTGACATGCATAATCCAGAAGGAGCAAGGAAAAAATATTTAAGGATATTTGATTCCTCCTTCCAGCTTTGAAGTGACCAAAATTTGTTTTTTAAATAATCATCACATTATAAAAAGTATTCAGCAAAATACTGTATCTGCAAAGAAAGATTTTACCCTTCGGCTGAAAAAATATGGGCCCTCCTGGTAAACTTCATCATCTCTCCTTCTACAAAAAGCCCACGTACCTGGAAACTCACAATCCCTTGCTCTTTTTTCCCCTTTCCCTTTTCACTAGAGTCCTTTTAGCATTATTTATCCACCACCAAAAAAAAAAACAAAACCAAAAAATGGTGCTTTTTATTAAAAAAAAAGTGGGAAATGCATAAAGTGACTTTAAAAACAGACATTCTGTAAACTCCAGACTTTTGTTCCTTCTCTCTGGGCAGCTTACTGGCCACAGGAGAAATGACGCTAATAGGGAACAGTACATTCAGTCAGGACTGTGCTGGAAGCCATGTCACAGAGCACCCTCCCCAACTGTCTCCACTTCAAAAGGGCCACCCTGTGTGAGGAAGGGCTGGGCAGGACTGCTGGGGAAGAGGGGTGCCTGAGAAGAGGTGAGGTAGGGCAGGGAGAAGGTGAGACTGGACAGAAACGCCTCATTCATCAGCATGGATTAATGCCAAAATCCCCATGTATCTTTGAGGACAATTTGGACAGAGAGAGGTGAATGCATACATACACACACATACAGGTATGTGTGCCTATATATCCATACACACATATGCGTATGTATGTAGATATAATCTCATCAGTTAACATTTTCATAAAAAATAAATCATTTAAAGCTGCATATGCCTACAAGTTCTCTTTAGCCCAGTGCACTGCACTGGATAACCACGTACCTTAGAGAGTTGACTGCTAGGAGTACAAATTGTGTGCAGGTCATATATGTGCATGTGTGTGACCATGCACATACAAATCATAAACATATAACTTCTACCTGTTCTGTTGGTAATGACAGAGGGCAAAAGAACAGAGCCATCTTTCTCATGAATGGTAGGAAGGAGACATGGGAATGAGAGGAAAGTAGATGGGTGGTTGGGTGAGGCCTGCCTATCTAGGAAAAAAAGATCTTGAGAAACAGGACAAGCTGAGAGGAGAGAAGAAGGGGGAAAGACAGAGGGCAAACTCAAGAACATAGTTTGAGAAGTGGGGTGAGGAAATACTTTTTTAAAGGCAGGCTCAGTGATGGTGGCTCTTTTTCTCCCCGCAGGTTAAACTGCCCCCCCCCAACCCTGCCCCACCCCGGACTAACAGGGAAGCTTCGGAAAGAAGGGCTCTGAGGGGTCAAACCCGAAGCGGCAGTAGCACCGCGACGGCATTGTCCGAGGCATTTCTGTAAGAAACATTATTTCAGAGCAGATGGACGACCATCTACTCCGGCCACGTGCAGACCCCCGGCCTGGGACATCCCCTCCTCCCTCGTCCCCTCCCCCCACGGCGGCTTGGAGACCCGAAGTGGGGAGTTTGGGGCAGACACAGCCCAGTTCAGCTCAAGAGTCTCACACGCGCGCGCGCGCGCGCACACACACACACACAGATACACAACACACACACGCGCGCGCGAGCACGCACACCACTTGCGCGCATCCCCCGCACTCAGGCGCGCGCGGGGCGCGCGTGCGGGGCCGGCAGCAAGCTCTGCGCTTTGGTGCGCTCCTTACCCCTCCCCCTCTCCGGTCTTTGAGGGGGAAACCCTGGGAGGTACGGGGAAACACTGAGGTGCTTGGGTTGAGCGAGGGTTAGGTGGGCCCCGCCTTCAGCCCCCCCGCAGGTCCTCGGCGCGGCCCAGCGGCCCCAGGATCAAGGCGATCCTAACTGAACAAAGCGGGCTAGACGCCACCTTTCCGCCCCCAAGCCTTGGCTAAGGTGGGGGGGGGCGCGGAGGAGAGAGGAAGGCGCCTCCAGCCCTAGCCCCCGACCGTTGGCCGACGTGAAAGGGTGGGAATAGGGGGCATCGAAGGGAAGCTAGGGGCCGCACGTCCAGGGAGAGGCCAGGGCGCGGCCCCTGCGCTTCCGTGGCTGGCTTTCCCGCTGCTTTCAGCCGTGCAGCTAGGAGGCACTGGAAGGGAAAAGAGGGGATCTGGGGGCCCGAGCCTCAGGCGCAGGTGGTGACCACGGGGGCCAAGGCCACGGTGGGCGCCGAGGATGCAGAGGGCGCACCCCCCTTCTCCGCCTTCTTCTCCTTCTGCTTGAGGTGGATCTTGGCGTGGCGTTTGCGCTCGTCGCTGCGCGCAAACTTGCGCCCGCAGAACTCGCAGGCAAAGGGCTTCTCCCCCGTGTGCGTACGGATGTGCGTGGTGAGGTGATCGCTCCGGCTGAAGCTCCGCATGCAGATCCGGCACTGGAAGGGCTTGTGGCCCGTGTGGATGCGCAGGTGCCGAGTCAGCTCGTCCGAGCGGCTGAAGCGGCGGTCGCAGCCCTCCGCCGGGCACGCGTGGGGCCTCTCGTGGAGCGGGGTCTTGCTAGGCCGGTTGGGGTACTTGCGGGGCCTAATAGGCTTGAGCGTGAGTGGCGGCTGGGGCAGGCTGCCGAAGCCGGGGTGGATCTGCTTGTCTTTGAACGCCTTGATGGTTTCCAGGGGGGTAATTGGGGGTGGATTGACCCGGATGGGGTCCATGCCTTGGAAAGGCTTGTGCTCCGGAATGGAGCTCATGTCGTTGGGGTGGTGGTACAGGTTGTAGTCAGGAATCATGGGGAAGAGATTGCTGTCCAAGGCTGGCTTGGCCGATTGGTAATCCTGGGGGGAATAGGCGAGCCCAGGGTTGCCCTGGGGGTCGTGGAAAGACACAGGCTCCGAATAAAGGTCGCCGCAGTTGGAGTAGGGGGGCAGCGCTGGATACATGGCCTCCACGTCGCCCTGCGGCGGCTGCACCATGCTGGCTGTGGACGTCTGCGTGCTGAGCGCCCCTGAGGCCGGGGGCACCCCCAAGATGCCGGCGCTCATGAGGCTAATGATGTTGTCCTGGCACCAGTTGGAAGGGGAGTCGAAAGCGAACTTTCCCAAGTAGGTCACGGTCTTGTTGCCAGGGGCTGGCTGGAAAGAGCCCGAGTAAGAGAGTTCCGGGTTGGGCTTCTCGTTGGTCAGACCGATGTCCATCACATTCTCTGCGGAGAGCGGGGGAGAGAGGGGAGGGGTGAGTGAAGCCGAGTCGGCTCCAGGCCGCGGCGCCCAGATCCTTCGCCCAGGTGCGGAGGGTGCGGCCGACTGGAGTGCGCAGCGCGCGGGGTAAAGAGGAAGGCTGAGCCCGGCGCAAAGCGGGCGGTGCCGCGCTCCCTGGCGCAACCTGGATACAGCAAAAAATACTACGGATCGGGGTGTGGAGTGGCTTCGGCACACACACCGCACACGCCGCGCACACACTCACGTACCACACACGCACACACGCGCGCGCGCGCTCCCGCCAGAAGCATTGTTGTTCTTCCCGAGGTGGGGCGGGCAGGTAAGCTGCAGCTACAGGTAGTTGCAGACCCGGAGCGCGCCGGGCTGTCGCTCTCCAGTGCACAAAACTCGGCCTCTTCCCCCGGCCCTGTCTCCACTCCGGGACGCCGCGCTTTTTATTTATTTTTTTTTCCGCCCCGGCGATGCCCTTACTCGCGCTGCGCCCGGGTCTCGGACCCAGAGCGCTTCGACGCTTTGTCCTCGCTCGGAGCGCAGAAGGGGTGCCGCCCGCCAAGGGAGCTCTCCCATCGCCGCCCCCGGCCCCAGCCTCCTCCGGCCTGAAGGAGCTTGCAGCTTGTGCGCAAAGGGGGGGGGGTAAACCTGCCTCCAACTAGGGAGGGGGGAAGGTGGCGGAAAACCGGCCGGTGTCTCTGCATGTCGAGAGCGGCCGCCCATCCCAAGCTTCCACCCACCCCCCCACACCACATTCCCTGATCCCCGGAATCGCCCCCTGTGGCAGAGCCCCCCGCAGCCCCTCCCCAGGCTCGCCCCCTCCTTCTCCCCGCCGTCCCCACACCCCCACGGCTTTGCTGAACGCCCTGAAAGGCAGCGTCGCAGTACCTCTCCCACCGCGGGGACTCCACGCCGCACATGGCTCCATCCCGGGTGGGAGGCTGAGGGAGTAAGGGGGGGAGAGCGCGGGTGAAAACGACGCTGGGCTCCTCCCGAGAAAGGGGGCGACAGCACCACGCCTTGCGCTCAGCCCAGCGATCGGGTCCCCTGCGTGGGGAGGGAGAACCCCTGAGCCGCTCGCACCTACCTCCCTCCGATCGGCGGCTGCCCCCACTCGGGAGAACCGAAGCCTCTACGGTGGCGTCGCCAACCAAGCCTTTCCGATCGGGGAGGGCGGGAGGAGTGGGTGGGAAAAGCAACTCGCCCCCCGGAAAATTTCAAGTGCGCCCCCCATCTTTCCATCCATCCATCCATCCATTCACCCATCCATCCATCCATCTATCCATCCATCCATCCATGCATCCATCCATGCATCCATGCATCCATCCAGCGATCGCTGCTCGCAGCCTCCTCCTCCTCCTCCTCCCTCGTTCCTTCCTCGCTGCCTCCCGGCCGCCCTTACCTGTAGCCATCTGATTGTAATGGGCTACCGAGTCGCTGCTGCCGGAGAAGAGGTTGAGCGCGCTGGGGATCTCCTCGGGGTACAGATTGTCAGGCAGTTGGTTTAGCAAACTGCTCATGGTCACCGGCAGCTTCTCGGCGAGTTTGCCGGTCATAGCACTCCCGAGCTGCCGCCGCCGCCGCCGCTGCCGCCGCTCGCTCCTAACGCAGCTTCCAGGCGAGCGGCATCCGAGAGGCGATCCGTGGTGCAGGGGAAAAGCATGCGAGAGGGAAAGTTCGGGGGGGAGGGGGGAGGGAAGAGGGGAAGGGG